GTTAATATTGTTCATTTATTAATTTGCTGGAAATTAGAACTGAATTTAGAAATAGTTTTCAAACGAATATTTGCGCTAACAAACGCAATTAAATATTTCTAGACTAATTGATGTCTGTGCGTAAAGGTTTCCCTATCCAAGAGCGAAAATGAAAGTGATCCATTATCTCTCATTCTCACGCAGTAGATGCTCTGTTTAACAGTTTTCTGTTAAAAAAAACTGTTAACTGTTTGCTAGTGAAATGCTCATTTTTTCCACTTAGACTTACTTTACGTCCTGTAAATAGCAAATGCGCTTATAGCGCGGCGCAGCTGGCTCTTAAAGGGAACGGGAGATGGGATTCTAAATGGTTTATTCTCAAAACCACCTATAACTTATTAAGAAAATAAACTCAACCCTTTTAGACCATGCGCCATGGTGCAAAGCAGATTTTCCCGTCCTTAAATTAGCAAAAACGGGTTCTGACACGCCCTGAAAGCGTTTGCGCCCTGCGTTTTGCGCTCTGCGCATGGACCGTCAAAATAGAACCCTATATTTTGTGATTTCATGTGCAACATTTACTACATAGAGCTGTTGTTCACTGAGAAGCTATGCAAATAGCTCTCATTATCACGGAACAATTTTCTCTATGACGTTGTTGTCTGATTCAATATATTTTGGGTTGTGATTTTTTTTTTTTAGTAGCTTGTCAGTCGTTTTATGGAGTATAACAGATATTTTTACAATACAATACAAAACTTTATTGTCATACGTGCATCTGAAACTTTTCTTGCATAACAGCATGATAAATACTCCTTACAAAGAGACAAAGAAATGCAAAAAAAAAAAACAAAAACACGCATACCTTATTCAGCTTCAAGACAGCCTGATGTACAGATGACTAAAGTTAGACTTTAATGGTGTAAATTCATGATACAACACATTCAAAACGTTCAAAATGATGTTCCTGGCCAGCCTTGCGAGGTTCTTGTAATATGAACAGTCATCTTTCTCAAAGAGACTTTCCTACTTTCTTTAAACAGATTTAATCTGGTTTATTAATTTTGTTTTAGACTCACCGACACACTCTTACAGAATTACAATACTGCAGAACACACATAAGTACAAACCTAAAATGTTGAAGAAACTTTTTCGATACTCCAAAACATCTAAGACGACACAAAAATTCTTTGTTTTATCTTGTTACACAGACTATCAATATGATCTTTCCATGAAACCTTGGTCTATTATTACACCTTAATACTTATGTTTGTCTACCTGTCTGATGTTTACATTATGTTAAATTACAGGGTTTGTAGATGCTTTTTTTCTATTGAATGGAAGAGTAAAAAACAATTGAAATCAATGAAAGTTCCAAACTGTTTGATTAAAAGGCATTATTCATATTTTATGTTCTACTTAAGCAAGAAGTTTTGCTTTAAAATGGGCCTTGTAGGCATGCTAATGTCACATTTCTCGAAATAAATTAAGAGACTAAAATTATTATCAGTTTTTTAGATTTGCCATGAACAGATGTGTTTTATTAGTACAATATTCATCTGCATTTCATATTATAAACTACAGATAACTTGTTTAAAATTCAAATAAGAATATTATCCTGTATAAAAATACTTTTTTAATTGAAAGAAAATATATAATTAACTACTCGATATTAAATCAATTTTCCTCAATGCTCTAAATTCTAATATCATTATTGGAAATGTAATTCTTAAATATTACACAAAACAAACCAGTAAACATGAAATGGTCTTTTTACTACAGAATTGTACGGATGGGGAAGAGTTCAGATAGATTGTTTTCATAGTATGAATGTTCTTTTAAGGTGAGTCAGTATAATTGCTGATGTATAAATAGTTTGGCTCTCTTCTAGCATGCTGTGAGGCTTTAGATGGCACAGGTGATTATGTGCTTCTGTTTTGAAATTAATAAGCTCTTTGTTTGCCTACCAGCTACTCCCCATGGAATGCAGCTATAGTTCCTTGTCGGTAACTTGTTCTATACTTCCTTGTGCGACTGTAGGGTTAAACGTTAGTACAGGAGCAGCATGGACAGATATATAGCACACATGACTGCCTTTACTTCTGCATGATTAAGGCACATATAGTAGTATCATGAGTGAAACCCCCAGTGCAGGTCTCGTGTTCTTGTTAAATCCCAAGCGGGAGGACAGTTTGTCTCTTCTGATTCACTACAGGAGTCATGCGCAGGTGTTGTCATGCCTGCTGTCATGTCTAGTCTTGTCTAATATATCAGCTGCTCATGCTTTTTTGAAAATGGGATTTTTTCTGGCTGTGTGTTTTTTTGTGACGTGAAAATTAATTAATGTTGTAATATTTTGTGCTGCTAATGAATATGTTTGTTGATTTTTTTTCAGCTCTGTATGTGTTAATTGGCTTTTTGTCTTTGTGTTCTGTTCATTCATGTACAGTACATGCCAATGAGAGTCACATTCATCAGGGTCCAAAATAAATGGAAGGTGAAGTTGAAAGTGGTATTTGCTAAAAAAAAAAAATCTATATTTAAGTCTTCCAACCCTGGAGGCACACCAACAGTACATGTTTTGGATGTCTCTTATCTGACCCATTAACTTCAGGTTTTGTAGTCTATTCTTATGTTCTGATGAGTTGATTCAGGTGTGTTTGATTAGGGAGAGGTTGAAAATGTGTACTGTTGGTGAGCCTTTTGGAACAGGATTGGGAAATACTGATTTAAGGTATACAAGCTGCACGACTTAAATAATTTATTATATTATTTCAAAATTGTAAATAGATGTACAAAAGAAAAACCACAGCCATGGTACAGTATAACGTTTCTTAGACCATTCGAGTCCTGCAGTTGAATTGAATAAAACAATCTATTTGTTGTTGTTGTTGTTGTTTGTTTTGTTCTGAACTGATTTGAAAAAGAAAGGAAAAAATTATTAAAAAATCTACGCTTTTATTTAAACTTTTTTAGAATTACATTTAGCATTAAATTAGTAAGTTTATTTTATTGATCTAAGCATTTAAATAATAAGAACAGCCATGTACTTCAAACAGGTGAAGTGCAATCATTTTTTTCAAATGTACATTTTGTAAAAATATATAAAATTGTTAATTTTTAAACTCAAACTTTATTTTTGTCATTCCTTGGCTGTACTAATTATTGCAATGGACTAAATAAAATCGTTTGGTGAGATTAAACATTACTATTATTTTTAACTTTTTATTTTTTATGGATTGAATTGGTCCAATGTTGGTGTCCCGGTGGTGCAGTGGGTAGCACAATCGCCTTACAGCAAGAAGGTCGCTGGTTCGAGCCCCAGCTGGGTCAGTTGGCATTTCTGTGTGGAGTTTGCATGTTCTCCCCTAGTTGGCGTGGATTTCCTCCTGGTGCTCCGGTTTCCCCCGCAGTCCAAAGACATGCACTATGGGTGAATTGAATAAGCTAAATTGGCCATAGTGTATGTGTGTGAATATGAGAGGGTATGGGTTTCCCAGTGATGGTTTGCGGCTGGACATATGCTGGATAAGTTGGCGGTTCATTTCGCTGCGGTGACTCCAGATTAAAAACGTAAGCCAAAAAGAAAATGAATGAATGAATGTTCTAATGTTAGAATACGATGGGATTTTTGACCCACTTTTAGCACATATTGTGTAACATATGAAGGACTAGGAGTGCCCATTGGAAATAAAATGAAGAATCAAATAATTCATTGAATAATTAAAGCAGGTGTGGCCCTGTGTTGCACACAGGTTGCACACAGTTGGCATTTTGTCTGGCACACTTTACTGCTGTCATTTTACTATGAAGCCCCACCTCTTCCTCGCCGCTGATGTGCAGGTAAAGGGAGTTTGCGCCTGTAAACAGCGCATCCTCTGTTCAAAATCGCAATTTGTTCAGTGTTTCTAACCACTTAAATCGTCACATATTTGAAACTATTTCAACCGGTGAATCATTCATTTATTCATTCATTCATTTTCTTGTAGGATTCGTCCCTATATTAATCTGGGATCACCACAGTGAAATGAACCGCCAACTTATCCAGCAAATGCTTTTACATAGCGGATGCCCCTCCAGCTGCAACCCATAACTGGGATACATCAATACACACTTGTACACTGTGGTCAATTTTAGCATACCCAATTCACCTGTACCGCATGTCTTTAGACTTGTGGGGGAAACCGGAGGATGTGAACACGGGGAAAACATGCCAACGAAATGCCAACTGACCCAGCCGTGGTTTGAATCTCGCTGTCAGGCAAATGTGCTACTCACTGCGCCACCACGTCACCTCCGGTGAATCATTACATCATTTTACATCTTACTATTTTATTTCAGAATATTCAAAAATCATTAGTTTAAAGTTATTTTAAATGTTCAAAAATAATAGAGTAGTATTTCAATTTTTTGAATGTTCATTTTCTATTTAAGCTGTGAATCTCTTTTCTATCTCTCACTTTTTTGTTTTCTATTGCAGTGCTTCAGTTCAGTCTGCTGTTATGCCAACATTTTTCCCTTTCCTTTTTTTCTCTTTTTTTACCTCTTTCACCCTAATGTGCTTGTGTGTATTCTGTGACTCCTCTTGTGCTCGTGCCCTGGGCTGAGTTGTGTAATGTTTCCTGTAGGGCATGTTACAGCCCACATGGAGTCCTGTCTCACTACTGCTCTTAAGGTTAATTCATTGCAGACAGGGGACCCTCACCCATACTGGGACAAAGACTGAGGCCATGCTAATGCGACCTCCACTCACTGCCACTTTCCACATGCCCTTTCCTTTAATGCTTTTCTCTCTTGTGCCAAGTCACATTTTTAGCCCCTGCGGTTATTCACTGTTCAGTGCATCATGTACATCAGTTAAAGCGCTTCAGCACTGAGTCAGTGATGCATTCACAAAGGGAATTTACCTATTGTTACTGCATTATTAATTATTAATCATCTAATATTTGTCAAACGTTACAAGATTTGAGAATAAAATACACATGTATTAATATTACGTATTTGATGATCTGTTTTTGTAGGATGAAACTGGTGCTTATGTGATCGACCGAGACCCTACTTATTTTGGTCCCATACTCAACTATCTGCGACATGGAAAGCTGGTTTATAACAAGGAGCTGGCAGAAGAAGGTCTGTTTTCTTTCAGAACTGTTGTCAGTCTGTGCAATTTCAAATGGATTTATTTTTATGTTGTTCTGTTTAGTATTGTGAATATTTTAATATCAGTGCATTACAATTAGGGATGCATCGGCGGTATATTGTTATTGTGGCATATAAAATGTTTTGTTTTGGGGTTTTTTATCATAGAGCTGCAGGATATTGTAAAAATCAGACAATCTGCAATATTTTGTTATTTTGCAATATGAATACAATTTCACCAGATGACTTGAATAGATCTATTTCGAAAGAAGTTAATTGGGATGATTCTGTAGGGGAGCGAATCATGCGTAAAATATAATAAACCATCTACAAGCAGAAATACAATGATGAAAAAAAAGAAATAAACTATGTTTTTTGGTTTTCTGCAGGTACAGTAATTAAATAACTAAATGTAAAATAATACTGCATAGTCTTTGTTGTACAAATAATTCAGTAAAATTAATCAATATTAACGTTATAAATGTTCAAATTTCTTATGGCTGATTGGTTTTAAAATCCTCATACACTCACAGGCCTTAAAAGCACATGCAAATTATAATTCTCAACATTGCAGATCCTGCGATGTGACTATTGCATATGATCACATTGCGATATATCGCAGCGGAATGAACCGCCAACTCATTCATATGCAGAGGATGCCCTTCCATGTGCTACCCATCACTGGAAAACCCATACACTCTTGCATTCACACACATACACTACAGCCCATTACGCTTATTCAGTTCACCTACCACATGTCTTTGGACTTGTGGAGGAAACCCATGAGAACACTGCTAGGAGAACATGCAAAATCTACACAGAAACAGCAACTGGCCCAGCCGAGGCTTGAACCAGCGACCTTCTTGCTGTGAGGCGATTGTGCTACCCTCTGCGGCATCGTGAAGCCCTACTTTATATTTTTTAGAAACAGAACAGACTGAAACTAACCAAACATCTAAATTTTTTGTTTAAATTCCATAGACCTTTAAAAAGCAGTGATGAAGCAGCTCATTTTCATTAGAATATGCACAGCACCTAAACCAGGGATAAGTTTGATTTTTGATTAGATTATTATGACATGAAGATGGATAAAGACTAGTGTGAAGCGTTGTAAAGTCTTAAATATCAAAATCAGAATTTTAGGCAAATTAACATAAATTTAAAAGTTCTCCATGTATTTACTGCTAAGTGAGCTGACCTAGAAAGACTGTTGTGCATGCATTTAATTTATTACAGTTTTTAAAACCTTCAAAACATTTTTTCAATTTTGGTTTTTATATTTTAAGAATGGTAATGTTGAAATTAAGTGTCTGTATACAACTAGAGCTTGCTTGTTTTAACACAATATTTAATTTTTTTTGCTCAGAATGAACTAAAATATTAATTGTTTTAATTATTAAATTATTATTATTGTATTATTAATTTGTATTATTAATTAATGTTAATAAATCAACATTAGAAAAAACCCTTAACGTTTAGGGCCATTCGAGTTTCATTCATAATGGTCTTAAAATGTCTTAAAGTTGTAAATTTAACTTCTAGAAACCCTGGAAGCAAATCTTTTCATAGTTCACAAAAAAGAAAAAAAAACTTAACTTTGGTGCGGCAGACTGTAGTATTGGAAACCTAGTAACCAACAGTAAACAAGACAAGTAGAGCTGCACAATTATTCAGTAAAAGATTGCTTTGTTCATTTGACCTGATCAAGATCTGAATTTCTATGATTTTACACCGTTTACTATATGTTGCTATGCAACATGGACAGACTGCGAATGGTGTTGAGAGTCAGCTTACTGTATTGATTAGGTGTAATTCACCTAAAACCTGAAATGTAAATTCTGTCTTTGTGTGCCATGTTGCATAATGACATATTCGCGGCTACAAAAATCACACACAAGGTGACGCACTTGGATTTGTTTGAGGATGCACCAGCTGCGAATAACGGGTAATACAGCTGTAAATAACATATAGTTTGTTGCAAAGAGCAATCGCTTCACTTCTTAAGACCTCAGTCAGGAGCTGCGTGGGTAGAATGTTTTGCATGTATATTTTTTTGCAGTCGAAGTGAGAATAATTATCCCCCTTTGATTTTTACAATTTGTTTAAAAAATACTTCCCAAATGATGTTTAACAGAGCAAGGAAAATTTTACAGTATGTCTGATAATATTTTTTTTCTCTGGAGAAAGTCTTATTTGTTTTCAGTTTGGCTAGAATAAAAGCAGTTTTTAATTAAAAGAAAAAAAAAACACTTTTAAGTTCGAATTTATTAGCCCCGTTAAGCTATATTTTTTCCGATAGTCTACAGAACAAACCATCATTATACAATAACTTGCCTAATTAACCTAACCTGCCTAGTTAACCTAATAAACTTAGCCTTTAAATGACACTTTAAACTGTACAGAAGTGTCTTGAAAAATATCTAGTCAAATATTATTTACTGCCATCATGGCAAAGATCAAATAAATCAGTTATTAGAAATTAATTATGAAAAATATTATGTTTAGAAATGTGATGAAAAAATATTCTTTACGTTAAACCAAAATTGGGGAAAAAATAAACTGGAAATGTAATAATTCAGGGGGGCTAATAGTTCTGACTTCAACTGGATATGTGTGTATGTATGTATGTATGTATGTATGCATGGATAAACAGTTGAAGTTAGAATTATTGGCCGCCGTTTATTTTTTTCCCCAACAAATCTGACTCCGTTACACCAATTCTGTCAGGAGGAATGGGCCAAAATTCCTTCAAACTATTGTAAGAAGCTTGTGGAAGGAAATGTCTCAATATTGAACTTTATTTTAGCATATGGTATCAATATCTTACCAAATTTTTTATGACGTTTGTTTAAATTTGATCGAAGCATCTTGTTTGAAAACCTAATGCAACAAAATAAATACCGGTAATGATCTTCATTTGACCAAAAATCGTGCAGCTCTAAATGTAAGGATGGTATAATGTTCACTATGTCAGAAGTTGTTGTGCAAATATATTTATATTATTCGCATAAATCCTTTCACACGAATATAAATCCACCTAAAGCGAATTAAGGAATTCTTAAATTGAACTCGTGTTGTACAAATGTGCATTTACACATTATGTGTTTCATGTTTTAAAAGCTTGATTTTAGGCTCACAAAACACTGTTGTCATGTAAATAAATGTAAAATGCAGAGTTCACACTGCACAATTTAAGCTCTGGTTTTCGCTCGCCAACAGATTTTGTGAAATCGCAGAAAAATGCCCAAAATCGTTTGAAAGTCTGTGCTCATTTACTTAAATGATAATCACACATTCTGAACAATTAAAGAGCTGATCTAAGAGAACAGCTGTTGGCCGTGAGATACATGCTAAATATCTGTCACAAATTTAAAATCAGGTTTATGAAATGAATGCTGACTGGAAAAAGGCCGCAGCAAAGACCTTCAGCAAATGAAGAGCAAGATACAGGGCAGCAGGGAGCTCTAGACCACAATCTCAGAAGAAGTAAGCGTTACATTAACATTAAACAGAAACGAAGCAGAAATATTCATCCATATTTTTGCCGTTTTGCTGCAAATCAGCGCACAGACCATTTGAATGGCAAACGTTATGCAGGCTACTATTTCAGTCTCGCGCCTGATCTTGAGTTATTTCCTTATCACTTTTTATGGGTTTGCGAGCCAGACAAAGCTGTCAATGATTATTTAAATGGTATAGTCATGCAGTGTGTATCGGCCTGTCACTGATCCATCACGCAGTGTGAACACTGCAACAATATTGTGAAAACAACGGTGATCTGACAACTTTGAAAGGTGTAAACTCTGCATAAGACACACATTTCATTTGAGCTGAAAATGATGTGCATAAACATACCTTTCAATTACTTAGTAGCATTTACAATAATTCATTTCTTGCACTGTCTTCAGTTTGCAACATTATTTAGTTGCAAAAAAGGCATAGTAATAAAAATCTGTAATAAAATCGACATTTTGTTAAAAAGAGTGTGTCTGTGCCTTCAGGTGTGCTGGAGGAGGCAGAATTCTACAACATCACACCGCTGATTAAATTAATCAAAGAGAGGATTCTTGAACGCGACTCAAAGGCCACGCAGGTATGAGCAAACCTTTATCGAGCCTCCAATACAGTGCATTTGCTTCCTTCTATCTGTTATTTTTTTCCCAGTACTATATTTCAGTTGATCTCTTATTCTACTGTACATTTGTGACTATATTTGTGTGCTTATGCAACAGCCATCAGTCCTCCGCCCACTCTCGCTCTTTTATTTGATTTTTTCTCCATACTCTCCTATTGGCATCATCCCACTGCATTTCTTGCTCGCACTGTTTTCACCCTGTGTTTCTCATACAGCAGGTACCGCCGAAGCATGTGTATCGGGTGTTGCAGTGTCAGGAAGAGGAACTGACCCAGATGGTGTCCACCATGTCGGACGGCTGGAAGTTTGAGCAGGTCAGCGTGCGCGCCTGCCGAAAACCCCGCCCCGGACTGCTCTGGACTGTGGGTTGGACTGACACGGAGTTGATATCCCTTCCCCTGATCCTAATGCTCCCAGTGTCCAATTCTCCCCTCAGATTCAGAGTCCAGTAATGTAGCTAAAGTGTCAAAATAAACTTTTGGATTTTTTTATTTAAAGGGATTTTACAAGGTCAGTTGCACCAATTTTTCCTAATAATATTATGGTTTTTTAAATGGCAGACTATGGCTAGACTACTACTCAGTAGGTACTGCATTTAAATTTGAATTTACTGCTCGACCGTTAGAAAGTGCTTTCTATACAGTATGAATTTGAGCAGTATGAAACTCATACATACTACATCTACTATTTGATCATGATAGCATAACCTACACGCATTAGTTGTGTCGATTCACTCCCATTTATGAATTCTATCGTGGTGCATCATGGATACACGTAGCATGCATTGGATGCACAGTTTAGAATTTCGCCCGTAGTAGTATGTCATCCGGGTACTTCTCGCATACTGTTTTTGAATTTAATATATATTTATGGCATATCTGATCTGACTTTTATTATTAGTTTACGTCTCGCAAGTTTTATTCTTCCTAATTTCCCGCAGCATGGTCTTTTTCCCCTCACAATTCCAAGTTATACTGTATCTCTCCATTTGAAGAACGTGATTGCAACAAAGTTCCAATTCTGAGAATGTCTTGCAAATATTTGTACTGCTTTTACAGTACAAATACTGCTTTTTGTACTGGCTTTCTCATTCTGACTTGGTATCTTCTAGTTATCAGTTTCTACAGTGAGAAAAACGTAGTTTTTTAAGGGATTATTTAGCTTGCAATAATTTTGTTCTTTCTTATCAAAAAAGCACAAAAGATATTTTGAAGGACCTAAACAACATTGGTGCAAAAAAGCAAAATAATGTAATATGAAATAATCTATAATGTCTTATGGAATAACTGTTCATAACATTGAAAAACGGTAGAAAACATTATGCATAATTATAAAAAGAAACCATCATTTAAAGGTTTACCTAGGTCTACCTTTAAACACTTAAAGGTTCTGTGGTACTGAAGGTTTCAAAGTTGGGCCCAATCCCAATTCTACCCATTAGCTCTTATCTCTAGTTTTGCGTATTCACGTGAAGAAGTGGGAGTGTCCTAATTCTCTTTAGCTTGAAAGTGTAGGGCTAAGGAGAAGGGCTAGATAACCCAAGGGTAGATACACCAGCTACAATGGCAACATGGCTGCACATGCAAGTCAGGAGATGCACAAATTGGTATTTTTTGCAATTATTAAGAATTTTAACAACAAACAAGCATATGTTTTGATGCATTCATAATGACGTTCGTGTTTTACCGTCATGCTTTATAAAAATAAAACGACTTTTAAAACCACATAAATTTCATGTCTATAATCCATAATAATAACTCCTGTATAGAAATATGTATAGAATGTGTGTGTTTATTAATTAATAATATTAGACTAATTTAGGTCATTGACTGCTGGCATAACAAAGGATGATGTAACGTTACCGTTAGTAGCTAGGCAATTTTCATTACTGTTTATTGCAGTTAATGCACTTTTAAAAGACACTTTCACTTAACCAGATTGCTTGCGTTTCCGTTTATACAAGAAAACAACTTGTGTTTGTTGCAACAGGCATTGTCGGTGTCATGCAAGCTTACAAGCTGTGAAGGATTTTATACTTCTCGCACGAAAGTGAAAATGAGCATTTCACATGTGAGATTGCTAACTGTGCAGACGAATATCAAATATCGCAAATTAAAAAAGGTTGGTCAGTTAAATTATGTTGCTGTAAGTAATGTTTATTCAGCAATAATTCTCCAGTACCGATAGCAGGACCGTTAACGTCAGAACTTATTGATACTTCAGTCTTTTATAATGCAGCACCGATACCGTACTTTATAAAGTACTGAGATTCGGTACCCATCCCTCATGATGACGTGTGCAGGTGTTGTTTATATCTTCTAAACGAATTTTGTAACCGTTTTAGAGCACACTAGCTTATAGATGTCTTTAAAACACACAATACTAAAAAACTTTATTTCAATTTCATGGGACCTTTAAAAACACTGTTGGCTGATGTTTTTAGTTTGTCGAATCGACTTTGACTAGACCAATTTGGCGTATCTCTAAACATCACAAAAAGAATGTTTTTGGTGCAACTCATTAGGCATTTGATCCACGTTAATGTTTTCCTTCATGGTCCTCACCCCAATCCTCAGATCTTAATTACCTATCATAATAAAAGGCCTTCTCTTTCTCTTTCTTTCTCTCTGGTTTCTTGGATTTCAAGATGGTGAACATTGGCTCATCTTACAGCTACGGAACGGAGGACCAGGCTGAATTTCTCTGTGTGGTGTCAAAAGAGTTACACACCTCGGCTGGAGGTTTGGGGACCGAGCAGAGCCACAAAACTAAGGTTGGAGCTCCTACGCACACATACACAGCCATAGCACTTCACATTCACTGTAACCACAGCTGCCAGTGCCACAAAAACATGCACACTTCCCATCTCATTCCACATCAGCAGCTTTAAGATCATTTCTACTACACAAATTCATGATTTGTTCAATTTTTTTTGCTATGCCATCATCTGTCGTGCTGGTTTCTGTTCATCCTGTTGTCCATTCATAAAACAACAAGACGTCGGACACACAAGAGGAGGATGGAGCGAGGGAGGAAGAGGAGGTGGAGGAGGAGGAGCGGGAAGAGGGAGAGAGAAATTCATCCCCCAATGAGTGGATTAGAGATTAGCAGAAACTTGAGTCAAAGGAATTGGTGAGGATATGCTGTCGTGTTGGTTGTGTTAGTGGTAGATCCACAAAACTCTACAAGTCAGAGAGTGTTGGTGAATTGCATCTCAGTGCACTACATTAGAGATAAACAAAGAAATGATTCTACATGCATATTCCATTGTTTGGCTAATAAAATGGTCTTCAGATTTATAAATATTCAAGAAGCACTTGTATGGATAGTTTCACTCGTCTTTTATGAGGACAATTTGCAATGAAATGCAATAACCTTCATCTCCTAGCAAAAACCAAGCATGATTTTCCTTTTTAAAGGGATACTTCACTTGTTCCAAACCTTTATGAGTTTCTTTCTTCTCTTGAACACTAAAGAAGATATCTTGCTGGAAACCCATAACCATTAACTTCCATGGTATTTGTTTTTCCTACTGTGGAAGTCAGTGGTTACTAGTTTTTAGCTTTCTTCGATATATTTTCTTTTGTGTTCAAGAGCAGAAAGAATTCAAAAAGGATGAGCGTGAGTAAATATTCATTTTTGGGTGAACTATCCCTTTATGTAGTTATTTTGAACAAAATGTGTGCAGACAAACTGTTGCTTGGTACTGAGCTGTGAATATCAATTTGAATAGATGTCATTTTAAAATGGGGTTTTTAGTAAAGGTCACAAGACCAGAAATGGTGACCGAATGACTCAACCGAATGACTGTTTAATATTTAGCACAGCGTCTGTTCCATAAATTGCCCATGAGTCACTGCCATTCCCACTCATATCCACATCTTCAGCAAAAACGATCTGTCATAATTACATGGAGCATACTAGGAGCGGAGGCTTATTTCACACTCTGTCATTATCAGAAATCATTAGAGATTTTGTGTTAATACTACCGTTCAAAAGTTTGGGGTCATAAGCTTTTTTTTAAAAATGTTTTTTAAATGCGTCACTCATCAGGTTTGCATTTGGCCCAATCCTAGTTCTACCCCTTTACCCCTTCCCCTTAATTCTTTTCCTCATTTTGTGCATTCACGTGAAGGGGTAGGAGTGTCCCAGTTCTTTTTAGTTTGACGGCGTAGGGCTAAGGGGAAGGGCTAGATAGCCCTTGAAACTGAGATTTTTCAGGACTACACTCGAAACCAAGGGGTATAAAAATTTCCCAGAATACACCATCTACAACAGCCATAAGTCAGGAGATGCACAAATTAATATTTTTTTGGCCATTAGTAAAACAGAAATAGAATTGGAATTAGGCCTTAATCAAAGCAGTAATATATTTTAAATAACTGTATGTAAGTATATTTTAATGTATTTAATTCTTGTCATGAATTGTGTTGAATTTTTTACATCATTAATCTGGTCATCAGTATCACATGATCTGAAATGAGTCCAATATGTCGATTATTTTTATTATTATTTTTATTTATATTAATGTTGAAAAAAAAAGTTGAGCTGCTTAATATTTTTAGGTTCTTAAAAGAAGTTTCAAAAGCACTGCGTATAATTGAAATGAGAAAATGACTTGATTTTGGTTTCAATTAAAATTGCATTTGCAAAAGTAATTTTATTTGCGTGGCAGGCATTTAAATGTAAAATAGTGAAGTAAAATGACTGATGTCAAAATATGGGTAAAATAATGCTCCATGTGCACCATGATCCTGAAAATCTGTATGAAATTATTTGATATTTGAAATTAATTGATTCAAGTTAATTAACCGAAATTTTGTTTTGGTAATCTTCAAAGTCTGACACTTTGCTGACATCTTTAGCGTAGTGGTCCTTCTCTGTTGATGTCAGTTTGACGGCTTCAGTCGCAATATTCTTAACCACATTCTTAAGCCTCTCGTACGGTTAGTTTGCAATGAGCGAATGATTCGCAAAAAGAAAAATTCTATTTCAGTGAGGGTTTATGCACACAGACTTTTAATTTTCAGTCAGCCAGCCCAAGCGCTTCCGGTGAACTGTCTTGCATTATAAAATTGTCACATTTAAGATCTGATTAATTTAAAAATCAGTGATCTTCACAATCTGTAAGATATACAATATAAAGTGGGTCTCAGACCCCACAAGAAGCTCTGCATTAAATTATATTTTCCCCTGCCATGTCTTTAAATATGTACATTTATTTTACCTCAGTATTTTCAATGGAGTTTCTTTTAACAGTTTTACGCTAGAACAACTAAAATGCTATCCAACTGGTCTATTTTAAAAAAGCCTATTTAAAAGTCTATTTAACTCGTTATATTTTAATTATATTACAACATCGATGCTGTAAAAGGAACCTTGTGAAACTGAAATCAGTAGCATTAAGCTCGCACCAGAAGTTTATTGCTGGCTGAAAACACTAGCTGTGCAGAGTCTATTGGAAGCGCATCAGCATACTGGAATAAACATTTTAGCTATTTCCTGTTCACTCCGCCTTTAAAAAGAGTAATTTAATATGTCATCAAATTAGTATTATATTTAAAAAAAAAAAACTCTAAACTTTATCTCCACCTACATTATAATAGGTATCTTCTGTAAATCATGGTTAAAATTGACGGGGCTTAATATTTTTGCTAGGAAAAAAATGTAATAAATATAAAAATGTAATAAAAAAACTACTGACCTCAACCTTTTGGACAGAGCTGCATTGCTGTGACACTAATATGTTTTTCAACTCTTTTTCAGCTGTTCCAGATCCATGGGTCCCGGATGTAGAATACAAAGAACTTTATTTTTTTAGATAACCATTTTATCATGTGCTCATGATGCTGTTTTTATAGCCATACTTTTTTAGATTTGGTGACTTTAACAACGGGTATTAGCAGAAAACAAGACCCCACAACCAGCAGCAAAAAAAGAAATTAAACAAATTCAACAAAAGGCACCTGAGGTATTAGGAAAAGACACAGTTACATAGAAAGTTAGCAACTTAGTACATGACCTTTACCAAAGAGTGCAACCTAGTTATTTATGGGATATTCAAGTTAAAATCATGCATTTAAACAACTTGGGATTGGTCAGAAATAGAATTTGTAATTTATAATATAAAGGCTGTGTGGATAGGAGACTGCATCTACTGTTTAGGTTTTGCACATTTACTGTGGTATACTCAGACCATGTCCTGTTAATCTAGCATCAGCTCTGGGTAAAGTGCCAGCAGCTCCAGGCTGGCAGACCACCAGCGGTCCACTTTACCCCATTTACAATCTGTGGCAGTTCATTTCGATAGTGGTTGGCGCCGGCTAGAAGGTCATGATTTCATTGGAGGTCGCTAGATTTAATAGGGCTCCTGAACATTTTGGTTGTGTTTGTATGCTGTTTGAAGATTTTGAATAGGTCCCGTTTACTTCTAATGAAGTTAGTTTATTTTCAGCTAACGTGCTTATACTGTCACATGTGTGGAAGAGATAGTTCATCCAAAAAATGAAGATTTAATCACCGTTTACTCTCACTCTAGTGGTTACAAATCTTTGATTTTTATATCTTTCTCTGTTGAACACAAAAGAAGATATTTAGAAAAATGTTGGAAACTGGATTCAATCCAAAGATGCGATTAGATTCATGTGCAAACCTGAAATTGCATAAAACATTTGCGAAAAAACTTTAAGAGAACAAAATCATCACTTCCTGATAACCGTTGCCAAATGTCAAAGAGACAAATGGAAATTTCTTTCTTAGGAAACCTTTCACCGTGAACCTTTTTCCTTATAAAGTTGAAGTCAGTATTATTAGCCCCCTATTTAGTTTTTTCCTCTAATTTCTGTTTAATGGAAAGAAGATTTTAGTTTAAATATAACAGTTATAATAACCTTTCTTTGCCATGATGGCAGTATATATAATACCGTACTATTTATTTTTCAAGATACTAGTATCAGCTTAAAGTGCAATTTAAAGGCTTAACTAGGTTAATTCTACAGGTTATGGTAAATTAGATAATTAAACTATCTTTGTATAAGGATGGTTTGTTCTGTTAACAATCGGACACATTTTTTGCTTAAAGGATGTAGCAATATTGACCTCAAAATGGCTTTTGGAGGATAAAAAAACTGCTTTTATTCTAGCCGAAATAAAACAAATAAGACTTTCTCTAGAAGAAAAAAATATTATTAGACATACTGTAAAATATTCCTTACTCTGTTAAACATAATTTGGGAAATATTTAAAATAGAATTTTTATTATTATTTTTAATTAATAATTCTTACTTCAACTGTATATAAAATGAATTGAGTCTCAGAAGATGAAGACAAACACAATGAATGTGCAATGGCTTTTAGAGCTGCAACCCGTCTATGGGATGCTCAAGATGCTTCTGGTAGGTAATAATAACAATGGCAGTCTTTGGGTAAGGCCTTTTAGAATGACCAAAACAACGTTTCTGATGTTTTACTGTGTTCAGTCTGCTGGTTTGTCTATTAATGCCACTGTTTTTTGTTATTACATGATTTATTTATTTTTTAATTTTTTTGCATACTGTAATATATCAGCAAACATGTTACCACTGTAGTTTAGGCATATTTGTTCTTATCAGATGAAATATATCTAATTCAGTTGTGTGCATAATTTGTATTCATGCTCATTGAAAAGCTACATTGGAAGTCAGTGGCTACTGGTTTCCAACATTCTTCAAAATATCTTCTTTTGTGTTCAACAAAAAGAAATTCAAACATGTTTGAAAAGTGGGGGGTGAACTAATGTTTATTTTTGTGTGTACTATCCTTTTAAGGTTCAATTTCTTCTGAAGGAAGCTCCGTTCACACTACCAGTGACTTCGTAGCTGCTTTTCTTCCTGGGTGGCGATTGAAGTCTCTAGTGGGCATTCCCACCTTGAGGTTACTTTAGTTAATGTTTTTGAATGATATTCTCAGTCAGTTAATGAGTTTTTTCAGCTATATATAAACACTGTGGTTATCAAACCACAAAACATTAACAGAATCAGTACATGAAATGCTTAATTGCAAAGATGTAGGTCTGCAGCACTGAGAATATGGCTGAGAGAGGATCACGTGAGCTCTACTGATGCTTCCATTGGCTGTTGCACCCTAAAGTCACTCTTTATTTGCTTAAAGTTGCCAATACTCGCTGTTGTTCGCGTAGCCTGAGATTGACAAAAATCACAAGCTCGCCATTGAAATGAATGGTTGCGTGTTGCTGGTCATGTGAATGGCGTTTAAGTCTGGCAATCGAAATCGTTCAAATCAACATGCCTCAATTCTACAACTCAATCAAGCACCTTTAGCTCAATTTAGCCTTGAGCTGTGCAAAATTTGTATGTGCTGTGGGCTCATTTACATGCCTAAGCTTATTTCTTAAATATGTTGTGGTTTTGCACAAGTTTGCATAAATACTGTGCCCCTAAAAACACATTTGTGTTCACTTCTGCCACAGTAAGCATGAATGTTTTTGGATTTAATCACAGAAAAGCTAACCAAGTAGAGTTTGTCAATTAAATGTAATGAGAAAAGATTGGCGAGGGAATCAATTGTTTCTCTTGAATGCAATGAAGTTCTTTGTTTTTAAATGTGACTCAAGTGTTCATGGTGACTTTTTGGGGCCACTGTACATTTGAACAGGCAAAATATTTTTCTGTCATGGTTCATTGACAGAATTATTAGTCAAATTTGAGTTGAAAAGATCTTTTTGTAAACAGTATCACAGTGTAATCTGATTCTAATGCATTTATACAGAGGAAACAGGCATTTGCAGCACAATTTTGTAGTTCAGTGAGTTACTGGGTCGATCGATTCTGCTACTGTCTTCAAGAACTGTAGGCATAAAAACTAGACTGAGAATAGTGACATGCATGAAACAGAGATGATATCATTTACTCCATTAACAAACGTGTGTGTGTGTGTGTGTACATGATAGTAGAAGCAGCAGAAGTTTTTGATACATATCTTATTGGTGTCAGTGCAGTACAGTAGTCTCTTTAAACTTTGTACTGGGTGTGTTGAACAAGTTGTACTATTGCAATAGATTTCAGAAATGTGTTTTGCTTTTCAAGTTGTATATTTTATGTGTTCATTCTCAAGGCCTTGGACTTTTTTGATCATACTGTGCCATATATGTGTTCTTTTTTATTTGCTAAATGTCAGATTATGTTACTTGTCAGGGCACAGTTTGTTTTGTCTTTGGTTTTTGTGACAATTTTCTCTATTATTTATAAGCGGTTTGTATGCCCTATTTCCACTTTGAGCTTTTCCATATTTATTAACTGAAAAGGAATATGTTGTTTCTCTTTTTCATGGTGTTGAATTTTGTTATTTATTCAGTTTTTTCTTTACATATGTACTTATTTGTAAACTATATTTACATTGCATTGAGCGCACAGTAAGCCTGTTGAAACAAACTCCTCAAGTTCAGTAATGCTCTTTTTGTCTAAAGGGGGCTTGTTTTAATCTGGCACAGACCCTTAATAGTTTATGTACACCAAAGAAAACTGGATTAATGTTTGACTATTTAGTCAGGAGAATATCTTTAGCAACGAAAACAATCATGAAGTAGATGTTCAAGCAAGCATTATTGTGTAAATAGCTACCAAAATTCTTCAAATAAAGTTTAGTTTCTTTTTCAAAAAAATAATTGTTCATGTGTGAAGCATTTATTATTTCATTGGAAACATACTGTTACACACTTATGCTACACGGACATTCATAGAGTATACTAGCAGCAGATACACTGCAGTTGTTGTCCACAGTTTCATATAATTGAATGGTAATGCATCTGTAATTAAAGCTTAGCTTACTGGTTTGCCTGTTCAGTTTAAAAAGCACAACTAGTCAAAATAAATATCAAACTGAAGTTCTAGATAAGACTTGATGAAACTAATAAAGGTGGCTATCTAAAGACATTAGTAGAAATGCCTTTTAAAACTATTAATCCATTTATACAGTATTTACATGCAGCTGGGATTTGAATTGAAATCCAAACGCAGATGTGTCAGTGTGTTGTTCAGGTCTGTTTTACAGGTATGTGCTGAGAAAGTCACCAGTGGCCAGATGAAGGTACTCTGGCTGATCTGTGGTCTCCATTTCCACTCCGACCATGAGCTTCCTGTGACGTGCTGACAGAGTCTTCCTCCTCCACAGGCCAGACGGACGCTTCTGCAGACACGTCTTAATCATTTCAGACAGGTCTTGCTGCAGATTCTGGAAGTTTTCCCTGTCAGAGAGTTCAGGTTGTAGAAAACATTTTATAGACTAGTTATGAGGAATAATAAGAATGACAAGAAATTGGAAAACTCACGCTGTTGGAGGTGTTGGCAGGTTATAATTTTCCCCTGTTACTCCGGTAAGCCAGTATGTCATCTCTTTTCCTTTGCCCTATAGTATATATGAGAACTGTGGTTATTTTAACAAAAAGTGTTTTATTAATTCAAAGAAAGCTGAATACAATAATATATACAAAGACAAAAGCAAAATTAAACAATAAATATAACATCAGAATTACTAAAGCTTAATAATAACTTTATTTTTAGGTGCCTTTCATGATAATTAAGATTAACTTACAAGTAATCTTTAAAGGAAAACTCCACTATTTTGGAAATAGGCTTATTTAACAACTTTCATAGAGCTGAACAGTTGAGTTGTACCATTTTTGAATCCATTCAGATGAACTCCAAGTCTGGCAGGAGCACTTTTAGCTTAGTCTAGCAGGGTCATTGAATTGGATTAGACCATTAGCATCTAGCTCAAAAATGTCACTAAATGATTTTTAATATTTTGCCATATTAAGCTTGACTTTTCTTTAGTTACATTGTGCACTAAAACACTGAAAAATAATAGTTGCTATTTTCTAGGTTGTTGCGTCTAATGACTATACTCTTATTGTGGCATAATAATCAAGAAGCTTTGCTGCTGTTCCATGGTTGCAGCAGGTGCAATGGTAAAATAAGGGGCTGTATAGCTAAAAGCCCTCGACACTGTACTGTGCAAATTAATACGTGGCTAAATCATAGAAGATGAGGATTTTAGAAAGTGTGCAGGAGTATACGTTTGAAGAGCATCAGACTGTGAGAAGTAAATATTGACTATTTTACAACATTTGACCAGGAGCAAGAGCAGATGGCAAAATAACTGGGGAAATGTGCTTTCCAAGAGAGTTTTAGACATAATATGTGTGCTGCAGAGAAACTGCCATTTATGTAAGAGTTTCTAGAGGAGATCATAAAGTAAAGAATTACAAGCCACACAACTTTGATTCTGATTTTAACAAAATTCAGTTGAATAAAATTTCAGGTTAATAAAGATAATATTAAAATAATGATAGTCAATCACAGACCTTTAGGAAAGTTTCTCCTCTTTCTTCATACTCAAACTTGCAGTCTGTGCGCTGGAGAATGTTGATCGTCGACTGACTCACATGAATTCGTAGCGCTGCAATGAGGAGAATAATGAAGAATAAAAAAAATAAACAGACTGATGCCTAGTTAAGTAAGCTAGTCAATGGATTAACAGTATCTACTGACAGTCATTTTTATTTGATCATTTTCTCAAAATTAGTAACTGAATTTTCTGCATTATTTTACTGCACTTCAGTCTTTGGTAACACACAATTATTATAATATACTGATTTGGTACTTTAATGATTAAAATGGTTGAGCAGCTTAATATTTTTATTTTGAGACCATTGTAAAAAAACAATTACACAGTAATAACGTATTTACTCACGTAGACCTGTGGACTCCATACGAGATGCTGTATTGACGGTGTCTCCAAACAGGCAGTATCGCGGCATCTTAATTCCCACAACACCAGCAGCACAGGGTCCTGCACACATGCAATATTAATAATATTAATATATAACATAACATTAATAATAACATGTAGTATTAATATTTACTGGAGAAGATGAATATATATATATATATATATATATATATATTATTTAAAATATTTTTCAAACCCGTATTTCGAATTGCTTTCAAAAAAAAGTACACTCAGCAAGACTATATTATAGTAATATTATATACTTTCATGTTATTTTAAAGTTTTACCTAAAGACAACATTGCCAAAAACACTGTTCACATGTGCAGATGTGTTAAACTTCATAAACAAACACTAGATGGCATAGTCTGAACACGCAATTAGGTAAAAACTTCAAGCCTTTTTTAATAGTTACTGTTTTAAGCCAACAAAAATTGGTAAATGAATTTTTTTACTCTAAAAACACCATGTAAATGAGCCTTTCAATGGCGCACACGGAATCTGTACACGCAGAATTCAGCAGATTTTTAGCCCATCATTGATTCTGTTTATTTACTTGTGTAAATGTATGTACATTTACAATTATTCAGTTTTTAGATTGATTTCAGTAATTGTATTGCCTAAAATTAAAATATTCATATGATTTAATTACAATACAGTTTGTAAAGTAAAATGTTGTGTCGTTCAGTAGATATTTTATACGACAAACTTACTTTGTTGACCAAATAAAGTGGATCTAATTGGTTTTGCATTGCAAACATTAAATACAAGTTAAAAAGGTATTACTTTTTAGTTCATATATTAAGGTTTTAGTTATGATACTCCCAAAATCATTCCGCATACATCCACAGATTTTTAACACAATTCTGTGCAGAAATAGCAAAAAAAGTCAGCAGATTTCGCCTGGCCCTAGTCATGACAGATTTTTTGATTACGGTGTCTTTGTTACAGTTTAACAATTTGTTTAAATACCGAGTGAAATGAATTCTCTACATGTATAGTTGGGATGAGAGTTATGTTTAGTTGCATGTGATTATGCATAAATAATTGTGATCACTACAGTAAGTGCTTGGTTAATGTGTAATGACACCAGTGTTTCCTATTTTTTATATAAATATAACATAGATGCTTCACATATGTTTTAACATTTTTCTTACAGCATCAACACTCCCTTGCTTTTGCACAGTGCTGTATTGTGATTAGTGTTTTGACAACATTATCCAAATCAAAGCTTCATTCACAGACAAAGCATCATAAAATAATGAAACTATATATTCAATGCAATTGCTGTCAGGTCAGTTGAATAACAGTAAGTGGAGCTTATTATTTGGAGGTGGACTCGATCTACCATTTTAACATCACATGCCGCTACTTTTTTCTCATTTTACTATTACATTTTGTTTAGATAATTCAGAGACATTAAATTATAGAATACCTCTTTGATTTATTAAGTACTCTTTTAGTTTTAGGAAGACTTATCTTTGTTTGTCCAAGAAAAAATTAATTGTAATTTGACCTCAAAAGATGTGTTCATATATTTTGAACCTAAAAGAATATCTGTGGAATTATCTTTTGATTTTATTTGAAATTTTTCATATATTCATAGAAAAATAATTCTACTCTTTGTTTTAAAGATTTTACGTGTATTTTCATTTGTGTATTGTTGTGTACAGTTCTCATTAATGTATTCATAGTAAAAAATACAAGCATAACCGTTAAAGAAATAAAGATTTAACTAGTAAACTTGATTTGTAGGCTATATAATATATGTAGTCTCTGATATATTGACGTCGTAGTTATATTCTTTTAGTTGCAAAGTTGTTTTGCATATGATATCTAAAATGTAAATTATAAACGTGCATTTTACTTTATCTTGTTAGAAGTGTATATGTTTGTTGTGGTTGTTTCTAATAAAAATTACAACTTAATTAAACGAAGGCTTTGTTGATAACGAGGAGGATATTTTATGCATTGAAACATGCGAGATGTTTTAATGGAACAAAAATCTCTTACAGTGGGGAAAATAAGTACTGAACATCTCATGTTTTATCCTGGGAATAATATTTCTAAAGGAGCTGTTGACATGAAATTCAACCAGATTTTGGAAAAAAAAAAACAATACAAACATTAAAAAAAATCTGAAAAGTGATTTACATGTAATAACAATGAAATGATACAATGAGAAAGTACTACACTACTGAAATGTATTTAATACTTTATATTAAAGGCTTTTTTGGTGATGGCAGCTTAAAGAAGCCTTTCAGATGGAGAATGAAGTCGCATGAATTGCTCAGGTGTGGGTTTTTCAGAGACTTCGACAGAGTGTAATGATCTTGATGGTTCTGTGGGTTTCGTCTACCAAATCTGATCTTTATTTTGTATTTTCTATTAGATTTAGGTCAGGTGATTGGCTGGGCCATGCTACAGCTTGATTTGCTTTCTCTGAAACCATTTGAGAGTTTCCTTGGCTGTGTTTTGGATCATCTTGCTGAAATGTTCACCCTTTCATCTTTATAATCCTGGTAATGTAGATGTTGGACTGATGCAGTTAATATTAATTTACAGTGAGGAAGGGTTGCTGAATAACTACTGAGAGATTTCAGCTGCTGTCTGGGCTTTTACTGCCTTTCTACAGCTCACTTTCTTCATGTGTTCAATACTTTTTTCCCTTTTATTATGCATAACTTAATTTGTAAACAAATTGTTTTGCATTTATGGTTATCTTTGGGTTTTACCAACATCTGGGGAAAATTTCAAGTCAATGGCACTTTTAGAAACATGTTTTCTGAGAAAAATGACTTGTTCAATGCTTATTTTCCCTGCTGTACAAAAATCAAAAAACTTTGTTCTCTTATGTAATTTGCACTTTAATTATC